CTCTCTCTCCCCCTCCTCCCTCCCTTCCACTCGCTCTAGAAATCAATGGAAAAAATATCCTTGGGCAAGGATTTAAAATAAATAAATAAATCTCAGTGGTTTACAACAATAAGGGCTCATTTTTCACTCATCCTTTGTGGATCATCTGTCGCACTACCCATTCTTCGTTCTATGGTATCTTCACTCAAGGATCCAGGCAGAAAGCGTATCTCCTTCGGGAACATGGTCTTGTGGCCGAGAAAGAGCAATGGTTCTTGATGCTAACTCTCCGCTCAGAACCGCACACATAACTGCCATTCACATTTCAGTGAGGAAGCATGAGTCCACGGGCTGGGAAGTGGAGGCCTCCTCCAGGGACTGGCAGCAGATTATTGAGAACAATGGCACAATTCACCATATTGTTTCTAGCAATGCCTTTTGCCTCCAAGTCTGTTTCTCCGATGTTAATGTAGCTAACAGACCCAGCAGAATCTCTTTTACCATCCTTTCAGTTCAATTTTTCTGTCTTTGTATTTTAAGCAGTGTATAGTTTGATTTTTAAAAAATCTGATGTTACAATTTGTCTTTTAATTAGAAAGTTTTGGGTTTTTAAAATATATATATTTCTAGAGGCCCGGTGCATGAATTCATGCACCAGTGCAGTCACTGGGCCTGGCTTGTGGGATCAGGCCAAAACCAGCTTTCTGACATCCCCCAAGGGGTCCCGGATTGCGAGAGGGTGCAGGCCAGGCTGAGGGACCCCACCGGTGCACAATGGGGCTGGGGAGGAATGTGGGAGGTTGGCCAGCCAGGGAGGAACCGCAGGAGGGCTCCAGGGCATGTCCAGCCCTTCTTGCTCAGTCCTGATCAGCCAGACCCCAGCAGCAAGCTAACCTGCCAGTCAGAGCATCTGCCCCCTGGTGGACACTGTACATCATAGTGAGCAGTTGAGAGGCCTTAGCATATCATTAGCATATTATGCTTTGATTGGTTGAATGAACGACTGGACACTTAACATATTAGGCTTTTATTATATAGGGTTGTGATTACTGATACATTTGAATTTATTTTTCCACTTCTTCCTGTGCTTTGTATTTTTTTTAGTTTTTTTAAAATTGATTTTAGAGAAGGGAGAGGGACAGAGAAATAAAAACATCAATGATGAAAGAGAATCATTGACTGGTTGCCTCCTGCATGCCCCGCACTGGGGATCGAGCATGTGCCCTGACTGGGAATCCAACCATGACTTCCTGGTTCATAGGTTGACACTCAACCACTAAGCTACACTGGCTGAGCTGTATTTTTTTTTTCTTCAGTTTTTGTGTTCTTTTGTTTCTGCTTTTATTTCCTTCCTTTTTTCCCCCTTTCCTTCTTTTTAAAAATATTATTTTTTCTTCTTCGGGTTTGGACAATAATTATTCTTTCACTGGTAAACTTCAAATATCTTAACATTCATTTTTCATTAGAAGTCTAGCGCTAATCAATATTTTTATGTGCAGTACAAAGACGTTTGATTGATTGAACTAATGGCTCCAATGCTTCACTTTCCCTGAGTGCAAACTCTTTGCCATAATCCTTCACAGCTCCCTCCTACTACAACTCTAGACTCAGCTACGTGACCTGCTTTGGCATGACATGTAAGAAGACTCTTGGGAATGTGCTTGTGCGTTTCCATTGGCTCTGTTGTGTCCCTGCCATTGCCGTGAGAACTTGTCCAGACTACCTGGCTGGTGAGTAAGAGACCCATTGAGCAAAGTCAAGGCCCACAGCCAAGGCCATTATAGATCAGCTGATCCCTGACTTGTAAGCAAACCCAGCCAACCTCAGCAGAGCTTCCTAACCCACCCAAGCAGATGCCAGATACGTGAGCAATAAACAAGTATAATTGCATGCCTCTGAGGTTTTGTGGCCACTTGTTATGCAATATATAACCGATGCATACATTATAATGTTTTAACTTCAACCATCCTCTTATACTTTATATACTATCATTCCATTATTTGGGTTTTACCTTTTAGAATCCCACCATTTATAAACCGTTCTTGGTTTTTGCCCTTGATGTTTGTTTATATTTACCCACATTTGCTATTTTATTTGCCCACCAATCCTTATTGTTCCTTGGATCTTCCTCTTGGAATCATTTTCTTTCTTTCTGAAATATATCTTCTAGAAGATCCTTCAGTTAAATTCTGTTGGTGGTAACTCTTTAGTTTTGTTGATCTGTCAAGTATTGTGTTTTCATTCTTGAAACCTTGTTTGCTAAGTATACAATTCTAGGTAGAGTTATTTTCTCTCATCGCATTAAGGCTGTTATTTCATTCTGTTGTTGTTACTGTTGCTCCCATTCTTGTCGTTGAACAGTCAGGGGTTGGTGTCACTGTCATTTCACCGTCTGCCTTTAAAATCAGCTCTTGTGCCTTGGTGTTCTGCACTGGACCTGGGCTTTCTTTTTCCTTATCCTACTTGGAATTCACTGTGTCTCCTGAGGTTCTTTCATAGATTTTGGGAAATTCTCAGCCATCGTTATTTGACAACTAGAGGCCCGATGCATGAAATTTGTGCAAGGGACTTGGCCCTCACAGCCCCAGCTTCGTCTGGAAGGTCGCCCAGACGGCCATTCTGCTGTTCAGTCTAATTAGCATTTTAGCTCTTTATTATATAGGATTGCCTTGCTCACAACTTTATTATCTCTTTCTAACATAACTGATAAGCGTATGATGACTGTCTTATCCATTTTCTTGTTTCTCTGGGGTGACTTTTGTGTTATTTTTTTTCAAATCTACCTTTTAATTTACTGATTTCTCTTCAGTTGTATCTAATTTGGTATTTAGTCCTTCCAATGAGCTATACATTTACAATTGATCTGATTCTGCTGCGCGTCTTCTCTGCTCATTTCCCCATGGGTTTTGTGGTTTTTAATTTCCTTTGGAAGCCTATCCGTGGGAATTACATGAAACCTATGCTGACAGTGAGTTCTTCCAGAGAGGACTTGTGTTTGCTTTCTTTCACCAAGTCCCATAGATACTATCTACCCAGGTCCGTTTTAGATTGAAATCTTCAGCTTGTGGGTCTTGGCCCATGCAAACGGTGTGGCCAGAATTTGGCTATGTATCTACTAGGGAAATGTTTTACCCTTTCACCCAGAGCCAAGGCAGAGAGAAAGACAACTTTCCTTGCTGCTTACCTCTGGAGGAAAATTTTGGTGTTGTTGGTTTTTTTGTTTTGTTTTGTTTTAATATATTTTTATTGATTTCAGAGAGGAAGAGAGAGGGAGAGAGAGATAAAAACATCAATGATGAGAGAGAATCAGCGATCGACTGCTTTCTGCACGCCCCCGCTGGGGATCAAGCCCACAACCTGGGCACGTGCCCTGACCAGAATCGAATCGTGACTTTCTGGTTCATAGGTCAACACTCAAGCACTGAGCCACCATGGTTGAACGGTGTTGTTGGTTTTTGTATAGCTTATCCTTCCCTTGAAGATATATTCCTTCTTGGCTCTCATCCTGCCTGGACCCAAGCAGATACCCCTACAGGTGGCAGCAGCATCATAGTTTACCTCCCTCCAGAAATGATTTTCAAAATACTTCTCAGCCATGGACCAGCCAATAGGGACAAGTTGGCCAGATGGTACCTGTGCATAACTTCTGAATATCAACTTTGTGTAACCTCCTAGGCCTGTGTTTCTGCTTTCTTCCTGGCCTCAGATGATTTTTCTGACTTTCTCACAAGTTTGTCCATGCATTTAAAAGGGTGTTTTCAATATTTCTCCTAGTAATTTTATAGTTTGTTGTTGTTATATTTGCAGGTATTTGCAGATATAATATTGCTAGAAATGTAGTCCAAGAAGTTTATGCGGATCAAAGAACAAAACATCCAGGGCTAAGCAGCTCAAACCTGGGACTATAGCTTAATGTCATATGAGACCTAGGTGCTCTCACACTTTCTGCTTTGCTGGCCTTAGCATTTGCTTGTCATGTCATAAGCACATGATAGTGACTGAACTTCCAACCTTCAGGTCTGCTTAGAGCAGCGGTTCTCAACCTGTGGGTCGTGACCCCTTTGGCGGTCGAACGACCCTTTCACAGGGGTCGCCTAAGACCATCCTGCATATCAGATATTTACATTACGATTCATAACAGTAGCAGCATTACAGTTATGAAGTAGCAACGAAAATAACTTTATGGTTGGGTCACAACATGAGGAACTGTATTTAAAGGGCCAGAAGCTTGAGAACCACTGGCTTAGAGGCAGGAAGAAAATAAAAGCGACAAAGCACTTCAGGGGTGTACTCAACTAGAAGTCCTAGTGGATTTGAGAAAAAAAAAAACAAACTTTTTCTCACTCAACGACTTCTACAATGAGTATGATGGGCCAGAAGTTGGCCACATGACTATGCCTCATCCAACTACCCAACTACTGGGCTAATGATAACGAGATTACCATGAACACTCTGGACCAACTATGTATGAGTCATTCGCTCCAGCTGGGGTGAAGGTCCACCTGCTCTGAGATCAAAGGATCTCCTCTAGTACCTAAACAAAATGAGGTTTTTTTCCTAGGGGACCCAGCATGACACCTGCCACACCAAGTGTATTGGTCCTTTCAGAGAACATTTACTCAGCATCCATTGTGTGCCAAAGGTGCTGCGGAGGCAGAAACGGTTTGGCACGATCTCTGCTGGGCAGGCTGAGATGGGTCAACGTTTATAAAGTCCCTAAAGCTGATCGACCTGCACCAGGCTGGACTGCGCAGGCGCGGGATACCTAGGGGCACTGGCCCGAGGTCTTTCCTGGAGCAGGAGCCACGCATGCGCGCACCGCTCTCTCGCCGGCGCACCCTCGGAAGCACTGTCAGTTTCAGGGGGCGGCACCGGGAAGCGTTTCCGGGGGCGGGAGGTGCAGGCTGAGGCGCTCGCGGCGGCGACAGCTTGAACCGGCCTGGTTCCGGCGGCGGAAAGTGTCCCGGGCCGGCTATGTGAGCGCCGTGCCCTTGGCAGGTACGGCGGGGTCGGGACCACGGGCGGGGAGGGGCAGGCAGGGAAGCCGGCGAGGCTTGGGGCTCACCTGCGGGCCGGTGCGCGCCGCCCGCCCCGCCAGGCCCGGCCGCCGACCCGGATGCTTCAGCCGCGCGCGGGTGGTGGGAGCCCCCGTGCGCCGGGTCCTGCGTCTGCGGTCTCCCGCCACCCCCGCGCGCGCACCGCGACGCCAGGGCCCCCGAGGGAGCGTCGCGCCCAAGGTCACCCTGCGGCGGAGGCGGCGGACGGACCTCGGCGGACCCGAGCGCTTAGAGGTCCAGCCGCCCTGTGTCCCGGCCTTCCGCGACCTCGGGTTCGAACCCAGGCCGGGAGGGAAAGGCTGCGCCCGGACGTCGCGGATACCTGCTTGTTTACCGCCGTGTCACCTCTGTGGCCGGCGGTGTCACCTGCTGTCACCTGCCCATTCTGCCTCTGAACTTGGCCCCTGTCAGCTTTGTATTTCTCTCCACTCTGTGTCTCTCGAGCCCACCCCGGAGTGGTTGAACCTTGTTTTTATCTCTGCCTCCGCCTTGCTTCTGTGTCTCTCGTGTTTCCCTCTAGGCCCTTATTCCCATTCACGGCCTGCCTGTAGGTGCAGCTCTTCGGCCACCGGTGTTCCTCCTAGGCCGCCGGTTCTGGCTTCCTCTCCTGTTTGTGCCTCCCCTGGCCGGGTTTGTCTGGGCAGGGCGGGCCGGCCTGCCCCGACCGCTGAGCCATGGAAGGTGACTCATGAGCCCTCGAAGCTTCCTGTCCTGGTGACATTCTCAGTGACTAGCCTGCAGTCTGGCTCAACGCTGACAGGTGTCTGCCCATCTCGGTGTCAGGGTGCAGGAGCCCCTAGCGGGCAGACGGCGGCCATCTCAGAGCTCCGGTGACTGATGCACCCTCGCCTTTTCTCACCCACGGTTCTTCAGGCCCCGCTGCGCGGCCCCCTCCTTCCCTTTGCTCCATCCCTCACCCCAGGATGGCCTCCAGGGCTCTCAGCAGCTGCTTCACCGGACCTGTCTGCAGCGTAAGGAAGGGCCGGCCTGAGACTCTCTGCCCTTGGGGCTCCAGGAACAGTAGCAGGGTTTCTGGGAGAGCTGTGTGCTGTGTTCAGAGATGGTCAGTACCTACAGGGACTAGTCAGTGATGAGAAACCTAAGCATTTGGGGTTCATTCTCTGCTTTACAGGAGTACTCACTGGAGTAATAAGCCAGACACAAGAGAATAACTATTGTATTGGTCCACTTACAGGAGATACCTAAAATAGGCAAATTCCTAGAGAAAGAAAGTAGGATATAGTTTACCAGGGGCCGGGAGAGGAGGGAATGGGGGAGAGTTCGTGCCTAATTGGATACAGAGTTTTAGTTTGGGACCATACATTCTGGAAATGGATGGAGGTGATGGTTGCACAACATTGCGATTGTACGAAATGCCACAACGTGTGCACTTTAAAATGGTAAATTTTATGTTAAGCGTGTTTTACCACAATGCGGAAAAATTGCTCATTGGAGACACCTGGAACTAACTAACTCTTTGAAAATGTGATTTAAGAAATTCACTCTGTAGCTTTTAGGAATAGCATTTAGTTGAACCAGATTTATTGATAACCTGCTCTCTTCGAAGCCAAGGTCCTTAGGAGTTTGGTTAAAAGAATTCTGTTAGAATCTTCCTCAAGTTTTCTACTTATAGCAGGTCCCACCCTAGCTCTCCTCCTTCCTCCATATTCCGTGGATTCAATGCAGGAGTCTGCTGCATAAGTAGAAAATTCGAGAAAGATTTTGCTTTTCACGTGAAGAAAACTCATAGGGTTGGAAAAATAGGTGGTTTTTTTTATTATAATAATGCAAAATTATGTGTTATTTTTTTAAGGGATGCCTTTATTTTATGCTCATATTTAAACTGTCAACTTGCCTGTAAGATAGTTTATCAAACTTTCTTATAAGATGTGGCAGCTGAATTACTACCATGTTGAATTCTAGATAACATTGATTATTTTATGTACCACCAAAGGGAGAGAAAACACTGCTAATTAAGCTATGACATATACTTTCTTATCATTTAGGCTTTTAAAATTTCTTATTGGAAACATTTTTAGGCTTATTTAGATATTTTCAGTGATATTCTAATGCATATATAACAAGAAAGAATAAGTGAAATAGGTTAAATTGTTCATTAAACTTCTGAACATTCCTTCTCTTTTGAATACTTTTCAATTCAGAATTGTGTTCATGCTTTTACACTGTGTTGCACTTTGTGCCAACATCCTGATTTAAGAAGTTTAAAAGTGTGAGAAAAAAAATTTGCCTCTTAAAATTAGTGGAATATGCTCTATATCATTTTCATGAGCTATTTTTTACCTTATCTTTATCCTATATAATAAAAGAAAGACATGTAAATTGACCATCCCTCCGCTACACTCACCAGCCAATCAGGAGTGAGTATGCAATTTAACCCGACAAAGATGACAGGTTAATTTGCATACACAGGCGCCGGGCGGAGAGCAGAGTGGGAGAGCCGGCGGAGAGTGGAGCCAAGTTCCCCGAGCCACCCGACAGAGAGCAGAAAGGGAGAGCTGGTGGCTTGGAGGACTTGGCAGAGTGGGAAGCCGTGGGACAGAGACAGAGCAGGAAGGGAAAACCAAGAGTACAGGGAGCACCAGGAATTCTGGGAATAGTAGTTCTGGTGGCAGACGGAGCTCCTAGACCAGTGGTTCTCAACCTTCTGGCCCTTTAAATACAGTTCCTCATGTTGTGACCCAGCCATAAAATTATTTTCGTTGCTACTTCATAACTATAATGTTGCTACTGTTATGAATCATAATGTAAATATCTGATATGCAGGATGGTCTTAGGCGACCCCTGTGAAAGGGTCGTTCGACCACCAAAGGGATCGTGACCCAAAGGTGAGAACCGCTGTCCTAGACACTAGAGCAGGGGTGGGCAAACTTTTTGACTCGAGGGCCACAATGGGTTCTTAAACTGGACCGGAGGGCCGGAACAAAAGCATGGACGGAGTGTTTGTGTGAACTAATATAAATTCAAAGTAAACATCATTACATAAAAGGGTACGGTCTTTTTTTTTTTTAGTTTTACTCATTTCAAATGGGCCGGATCCGGCCCGCGGGCCGTAGTTTGCCCACGGCTGCCCTAGAGCAAAGTGAGCCTGGAGCAAATTATTGTTGCGGTGGGGGATGGAGGGAAAGCAAAGGTGAGAAACATAAGTAAAATCAGAGTGTGTAGGAAAAATTAAAGGGAAGATATCCTAAAACTTCCAGGAAATCTCCACCAATGACACAAAGAAAAAAAAAGCCTCTATTATTCTGTGAGCAACAAACCAAACTGGGTTGGGGGTCTCAGACAATTCGCTCATATGATTGCAAAGACAGAAACTCCCGGATTGGAGAGGGGCCCCCTGAGGGCTCCCAGATTGGAGAGGGTGCAGGTTGGGCTGAGGGACCCACCCCCAGAGCATGAATCTTCTTGCACTGGGCCCCTAGTCTAAAATAATTTTGGAAAGTTTTCCGTCTTGTTTGTAACATATTGAGGGAAAAAAACTTTCCTTTTATTTTGTTGGTATGTAGTTAATTTTCATGAAACAAGTGCCTTTCTGCATTCTGCTTTCTTGATTTGAGCTTCTTTTCCTGAATTTTAATGAATATGAGAGGCTAAGTTAAAAACATTTCCTTGGCTTTATTGTAATATATTGGCAGGATGACTGATACGTGGGGAGTTAATATAGCTAGAACAATACCTTCTTTTTTATTTTATTTATTATTTTTTAAAAATATATTCTTAGTGATTTTAAAGAGGAGAAGGGAGAGGGAAAGAGAGATAGAAACATCAATGATGAGAGAAAATCATTGATCGGCTGCCTCCTGCATGCCCCCTACTGGGAATCAAGCCCGCAACCAGGGTATGTGCCCTTGACCGGTATTGAACCCAGGACCCTTCAGTCCGCATGCTGACACTCTATCCACTCAGCCAAACTGGGTAGGCCCTTCTTTTTTATTTATATTTGTATTGTTTATTTTTATTTTTTTAGGGAGAGAGAGAGAGAGAGAGAGAACATCCCTCAAACTGCAACCTGGTATGAGCCCATGACCCTTTGATGCACAGGATGATGCTCCAACCAACTGAGTCCCATGGGCCAGGGAATACCTTCTTTAAAAAATAAAATTATTGAAGTAAGTTGGTATACAATATTATATTAGTTTCAGGTGTCCAACCTAGTGATTTGACATTTATAGACCTTACTAGTGACCCGGTACACAGATTCGTACACATTGAAAGGAAATTAATTAGAAGGTGACCAGTGGAGCAGGACTGGGCGAGAAGGCTGGAGTCAACCTCCTGCAGTCCCTCCACACCTGGGGTGGCACCGCGGCTCAAAGGGCGTCTGCAGAGTGAGCGGGGTTCCTCCAGCAGGTGGGGTCCCTCGACCTGGCCTGCAAAGATTAGGCAGAAACCGGCAGTCTATCCCCCAAGGGGTCCTGGATTGCAAGAGGGCCGCTCTCGGGTGACACACCCCAGAATCGTGCTCCCTCCTCTCTGGTTCGAGAACTGCAATTGCCAAGTCACCGCAGCTCAGCAGCTCCTGCATTGAGCGTTTGCCCCCTGGTGGTCATTTTGCATCATAGCTACTGGTCGGACGGTTGCTTAGCCTTTTATATATATAGATGATGAGATCACCAAGTCTAATAACCATCTGTCACTGTATTCCCTGTACTGTACATTATGTCCTCATGGCTGATTTATTTTAACTGGAAGTTTGTATGTCTTATTCCTCTTACCTCTTTCACTTGCCCCAACCCTTCTTCCCTCTGCCAGCTATCAGTTCTCTGTTTCTATGATCTGTTTTTGTTTTATTTGTTAATTTGTTTTGGTTTGTTTTAGCGTCCACATATAAGTGAAGTCACGTAGTATTTTTCTTTTTCAAACTTCACTTAGCATAATATCCTCCAGGTGCATCCATGTTGTCACAATGGCAAGATTTCATTCTTTTATTTTTTTCTGAGTAATAGTCCATTGTGTGCATATACCTTATTTTTATTCATTCATCTATTAATGGACACCTAGGTTGCTTCCATTTCTTGGCTAGTGTAGATAATGCACTAAACGTAAGAGTGCTTAATACCTTTTTTTTTTTTTTAATCTCAAATTGTTTACCACAGTGGAATGTTTGCCTTTAAGTTTTAAAACATTCAGTGGTGGCTTAAAGGGTGCTATGAGTCAAACTTCATAAAGTAAGTAGCATGTTTTTTAGAAATCTTAAAAGAGGTTTTACTAAGTTCTTTGGCTAGAGTGTTCCAATTAGGAGAAAATATAGTGGTGCTGATTGACCACGGTCTGGAGATTTTAATTCTGCAAAATCACATAGGCATTTACCAGGGTTGGTTTTTTATTTGACAAATGTGTCATGGTAATGTAAGATGTTAACATTAAAGAAAATTGGGTGAGGGGTGTATGGGAACACTCAGCATCCTTTACAACTTTTCTATAAAGCTGAAATTATTTCAGAATTAAAAGTTTATTTTAAAATAACAAAGGAAGAATCTAAGAATGCATAGAATGGACATCCTATATAATAAAAGCCTAATATGCTAAGTGTCCAGTCATCCGGTCAGCTGTTCAACCAATCAAAGCATAATATGCTAATGATATGCTAAGGCCGTTCACCTGCTCGCTATAATGTGCACTGACCACCAGGGGGCAGACGCTATGACCAGTAGGTTAGCTTGCTGCTGGGGTCCGGCCGATCCGGGACTGAGTGAGACGGGCCAGACATGCCCTGGCTCCCTCTCACGGTCCCTCCCCAGCCCCGATCATGCACCGGTGGGGTCCCTCGGCTTGGCCTGTGCCCTCTCGCAATCCGGGACCCCTTGGGAGATGTTGGAGAGCCAGTTTCAGCCCAACAGCGGAACAACTGGCCACTATGATGCTCAGTGACCACGAGAGGGCAGACACTCAACACAGGAGTTGCCCCCTGGTAGTCAGTGTGCTCCCACAGGGGGAGTGCCGCTCAGCCAGA